TGTCGGCGCCGCTGCGCGCGAGCCTCGCGGCGACGCTCGGCGCGGACGACGGCGCGCCGGCGCCGGCGCCCGGCGCGGGCGGCGACGGGGCGCCGGAGGCGGAGTCGGCGGAGTCGGCGGAGTCGGCGGAGTCGGCGGAGGACCTCCTGCTCGCGTGGCGGGAGCAGCAGCGGCTGCGGCGCGCGGGCCTCTGGAGCCCCGCGGGCCGCCGCGCGGGCGCGCCGGCGCCGGCGCCGCGGCGGTCGGCGCCGCGCGAGGCCGCGGGCGAGACGCCCTTCGCCGCGGCGCTCGCCGCGGGCGCGGCGGCCGCGGGCCTGGCCGTCGACCGCGGCCGCGTCGTCGGCTACGCGGCGCCGACGGACGCGCTCCTCGCGGCCGCGCACGGCGCCTGCGCGCTCGCCCTGCCCGCCGGCGACGCCGAGGACCTGGCCATGGTCCGGCTCGCGCAGCGCTACTACGAGCACTGGCGCCCGGCGAAGGTGCGGGTCGTGCTCCTCGCGGAGTCGCACGTCTTCACGGCGCCGAGCGACTCGGCGGCCCGGCCGCTCAGCGGCGAGGCGCTCGCGCGGCTCGCGGCGGCGGGCTACGACGGCCCCACGGGCTTCGTGCACCTCGTCCACAGCCTCGGCTACGGCGAGGACGATTTACTGGAAACGCCCGCGGGCGCGAACAAGGGCACGCCCCAGTTCTGGCAGCTGTTAGCCGCGGCGAGCCGCGACGGCGTCGGCGACGACTGCCTGGCGCGCGGCGCCTTCGACGACGTGCTCAAGAAGCACGGCTCGACGCCCCTCGCGCGCCTCGACGCGAAGCTCGCGGTGTTGCGGCGGCTGAGGGACCGGGGCGTCTGGCTGCTCGACGCGTCCGTGCTCGGCTGGTACATCCCCCAGGAGGCCGTCTACCGGCGGAGCGCCGTGTCCGGGGAGGTGCACCGCTGCGCGAAGGACCGGCCGCCGAAGCGGTGCAAGCGGCCCGCGCTCCTGTTGTCCTGGGAGCTCTACATGAAGCACGTCGTGCGGTCCGCCGCCGACGGCGGCTGCCTCCAGAGCGTGCTGCCCATCGGCAAGGAGGTCTTCGGCGCGCTCGGCGAGGACCGGCTCAAGGACGCGGCCGGCGGCGCGGCGCTCCTCGAGCCGCACCCGGCGCCGAACGCGTGGGTCCCCGGCGGCTACGGCCCCTACTTCGCGTCCCTCTCCCGCGTCTGCCGGCCACCGCCTTCGGAGCCTTAGACCTTGCGGATGAGCGTGTAGACCTCCGCGTCGACCTTGAGCTTCTGGAGATGTCGCTGGTCGCCGATGAAGCGCGCGAGGAGGCCGCCGTGGGAGAGCAGCACCTCGACCTTGGTCCCGCCCACGGCCTTGAACTTGTAGACGACGCCGTGCATGACGTAGTCGTACTGGTCGAGGAGCGACGGCCGGCCGTCGAGCTGCAAAAAGTCCGTCGTGTCCGTGCCGTCGAGCGACAGCGACGTCGCGATGGCCACGCTGAGCTTGTTGCCGTCGTCGACGTCGAAGATCTCGCAGTTGATGTCTGCGCGCGGGGGGTTCGGGTCTCGGCGCGCTTCGCGCGCTCCGGGCGCGGCGCGCGCGCCGACGAGGAACTCGAGCTCGTAGACGACGCCCTTGCACAGGAGCCGGTCGACTGCGCGGGGGCGGCGCGGTCGGCGGCGGGCGCGGGGAAGCGCGCGCGCGCGTCTCGGCGCGCGGCCGTCGTTGCGCGCGCGTCTCGGCGCGCGTCCGCCATCTGTTGCGCGCGCGGCGGTGTTTCCGGAGCGCACCTTTCTCGAATTTTTTGCCCTCGGGGTTCACCTGCTCGACGCGGAACTCGTCGCTGAAGACGACGGACGACATCGCGTCTTGCGAGCGGCAGTGGCGGCGGCCGCGGTGATGGCCTACAGCTCGCGCAGCTCGCCCGCGATGAGGCAGCACGTTGAAGAGCAGGAGCGCCGACATTGAAGATTTGGGGCCGCCGGCCGGGAAAATGGAGAACCATTTTTAGCGTGGGCAGCCTCTCCATGAGACTGGGGACGGCGGCGCTCGCGCTCGTCGCAGCGTCGTCGTCGACCCCGGCGCCGTCGCCCAGCGGCTGCGTCGACGACGCGTCCTGGGCCTGGACCTACGGCCTGGACATCACCTGCGCCTGGGTCGCCGAGAGCCCGGCGACGCGCTGCGAGTCGACGTTCCAGGACGCCGACGGCGTGCGCGCCGCGGAGGCCTGCGGGTTGACGTGCACGCTGAGCTGCGCCGACGACTACGTGCCCCCGACGGCCGCGCCGAGCCGCGCGCCGTCCGCGGCGCCGTCGCGCGCGCCGTCCGCGTGCCCGAGCGCGCGGCCGTCGTCCGCGCCCTCGAGCGCCGGGCCGAGCCCGTTCCCCGCGCCCGCGCCGTCGTCGCCGCCGACGGCGTCGCCGACGTTGCTCCCGTCCCGGCCGCCCACCGCGGCGCCATCGCCCGCGCCCGCGCCGACGCGGCCGCCGACCGACCGTCCGTCCCCTGCGCCCTCGACGCCGCGGCCCTCGACGCCCGCGCCGTCGCCGCGGCCGTCCACGCCGTCCCCGACGCGCCGCCCGTCGACGCGCGCGCCGAGCGCGCCGCCGACCGCGTCCCGGACGCCGACGGCCGAAATGGTTCCCGTGACCGTGTCGTCGGCCGTCGCGCTGCGCAACGTCTCCGCGCCCCTCGACGACGGCGAAATCCGAGCCTTCAAGGACGCGCTCGTCGACGTCCTCGGCGCCGTCGACGACGCGTCCCAGGTGACGAGGGTGGCCACGGACCGGTCCCGCGTCCGCCGGGGCTTGGCAAGCGACCTGGCCGTCTACTTCGACCTCGCGCTCGCGACGACGGCGGGCGCCGCGGCGGCCCTCGAGGCCGCCGTCGTCGACGACCTGGACGCCGCCGTCGCCGAGGCCGGCGGGGCGAGCGCGCTCACGGCGTCGCTCCGCGGCAACGGCTGGGCCGCCGCGGCGGCCGACGGGGCCGCGTCCGCGGCGCTCATCGCCGCGACGACCCTCGCGTTCCCCGCGACGGCCAATCCCACGGCGGCGCCCCAGGCGCAGAAGTCCGACCCCGACGCCGCGTCGGGCAAGGGTCTGGTCTTCGTGCTGGCGGTCGTCGCGGGCGTCGCGCTCCTCGCGGGCCTCGTCGCGGGCCTGTTGTCGGCGACGGGCCTCGCGCCGGCGCCCTGCAAGGTCGCGGAGGCGGGCGTGCGGGACCACCACACGACGCAGCGCATCCCCGTCATCGGCGGCTTCGACGACGACGCGTCGCTGGACGTCGGCGACGGCGAGGACGACGGCGACGGCGGCGGCCGCGTCGTGACCTGGGCCTACGACGCGCGCCTCGAGGCGCACCGCGCGACGGTGGCCTGGCCGTCGCGGCCCGAAGCCGTCGTCCGCACCTTCGCGTCGCCCGCGCGCGACGGCGACCTCGGCTTCGCGCGCGGCGGCCTCCACGAGGGCGAGATCCTGGACCTCGCGCGCGCGGACGCGGGCTTCGCCGTGTGCCCCGTGCGCACGCAGCTGAAGACGGCGCTCGTGCGCTCCCGCCCCCTCCTGGAGCGCCTCGACGCGCTGAACGCGGAGCTCAAGGTGCTGCGCATCCCCTACGACGCGGGCCGCGTGGAGATCTCCGTGCGGCGCGACTCGCTCGTCGAGGACTCGTTCCTCGCCTTCGGGCGGCTGCCGCCGTCGCGCATGCGCCAGGCGCTCTTCGTCAAGTTCCAGGGCGAGGAGGGCCTGGACGCGGGCGGCGTGAGCCGCGAGTTCTGGCTGCTGTTGTGGCGGCGGTTCCTGGACGCGGACGTGGGGCTCTTCGCGTTCGGCGGCGGCGGCGACGCCGACGGGCCCGTCTACGGGCTCAACGGCGACGCCAAGGTGTCCGTCGACGACCACCTCGTGCTCTTCCGCTTCGCGGGCCGCTGCCTCGGGAAGGTGCTGTTCGACGGCCACCAGATCGACGCGCAGTTCGACCGCATCCTGCTGAAGCATTTGGTGGGCGAAGCCGTGGACTTTGATGACCTGCGGCACGTCGACGTCGAGCTCTGGCGCAGTTTGAAGGGCTTGCGGGACCTGCCGGGGGACATCGTCGACGACCTCGCGCTGAGCTTTTCGGTGGACAACGTGCGCTTCGGCGCGACGGAGACGCGGGAGCTGCTGCCGGGCGGCGCGGAGCTCGCCGTGTCCGCGGACAACGTCGACGAGTTTCTGGCGTTGAGATTGCGGGAGCGCGCGCTCGACGCGCTCCGCGACGAGCTCGCGGCGTTCCTGGCCGGGTTCTACGAGGTCGTGCCCGTGGAGGTGCTGCTCCTGTTGAGCGCCGCGGACCTCCAGCGGCTCCTCGCGGGGTCCCAGAGCCTGGATTTGGACGACTGGAAGCGGCACACGAAGTACAAGGGCGCCTACGAGGCCGCGGGCGCGGACCACGCCGTCGTCGCGTGGTTCTGGGCCGCCGTGGCGACGTACGACGACGACCGGCGGCGCCGCCTCCTCCAGTGGTGCACGGGCTCGAACCGCATCCCCCTCCAGGGCTTCTCCCACCTCCAGTCCCGCGACGGCGCGCGCCGCGCCTTCACGATCACGTCCGTCGACCGCGACCAGGCCCGCTACCCGCGCGCGCACACGTGCTTCCACCGCGTCGACCTCCCGCTCTACGAAAAGGAGGCGGACCTCGTCGCGGCCTTCGACGACGTCCTCTCCAACGAGGCGGGCATCGTCGGCTTCTCGATGGACTAACGTTCGGGGGTTTTGAGACGGCGTCGCGCGTCGACAACAAGGCTACAACTTGTGACATCAAGAGGTCAACAGATGGTCAACGCCGGCTTGGACCAGCCTTGGTGCCGCATGCGTTGTTTATGGGCTCGACCTCCTGACATGGCGCGCGGCGCGCACTAGCACCGCATGAACGTGCAGCTCGTCACGGGCAACCCGGCCCTCGGCGAGGGCGCCCTGCACCTCGGCGTGGCCCGGCTGACGAGCGCGCCCGCGCGCACGACAGGACAGGGCGGCGCGGCGAGCGTGAGCGCCGGCGCCGGCGCCGAGCCGCCGGCGCACCACCTGCGGCGGCGGACGCTGGCCATGGTCGGCGTGCCCGCGCGGTTCGTGCCGAGCGACGTCATGCAGCTGCTCGGGCCCTTCAAGGGGCTGCGGAACATGCGCGTCGCGCGCCACGGCGAGCCGCCGCGATGGCCGCCGACGCTCGCGGTCGTGCTGCTCGAGCTGTCGTCGGTCTTCGAGGCGGCGGCGGTCTACGGCGCGCTCCACGGGCGGCCGTTCAACAGCTTCGAGCCCGAGGTCGTGCGCCTCGCGTTCGTCGACCGCGTCGACTGGGTCGGCGCGGCGCCGCGGCGCGAGACCGACGCGAGCACGTGCGTCGTGTGCCTCGAGCCCCTGCGGTCGCGGGGCCCCATCTTCACGACGGCCTGCGACCACAGCTTCCACAGCGCGTGCCTCGGGCGCTGGGCCGACGCGCCGTGCCCCGTGTGCCGCTTCCATCCGTCGGGCGTCGGCGCGGCGACGTGCTGCGTCGCGTGCGGCCTCGAGCAGGACAAGGGTGATTCAACGTCGCTTCAACGTGAGTGTTCCGCGCGCGCGCGTTCTAGAAAAAGCATCCACGCTTCGAGAGCGCTCCGAGAGATGATCGCTCGTCCAAAAATCAGCCGAAACGAGCGGAAAACGACCGAGATAGAAGCCTTTGAAGTTGGGAATTTCGCACCCTTTTGCTGCCCAGGTGCGGCCTCGAGCCGTCCGGCGGCGGCGCCGGCGCCGAGGACATGCTCGACCGGCGCACGCTCTGGGTGTGCCTGATCTGCGGCCACGCGGGCTGCGGCGGCGGCGACGCGACGGAGCCGGGCCACGCGCGGGACCACTACCGCGCGACGCTCCACGCCTACGCGCTCGACGTCGCGTCGCAGCACGTCTGGGACTTCGCGGGCGAGGGCTACGTGCACCGCCTCGCGCTCCAGCGCGGCGGCGAGGACCGGGAGCCCGCGTCGCCGACCGGCGGCAAGATCGCGGAGGTCGCGCCGCCGCCGCCGCCGGACCGCTCCGGCCGCGGCCGCGCGAGCTCGTTGGGCCGCGTCGCGGCGCTCCACGCGCGGTCCTGCGCGCCGCCCTTCGAGCCCGCGGCGGCCGACGACTCCGAGCGCGTGCACCGGAAGTTGGAGGGCCTCGCGCTCGAGTACAACGAGCTCCTGCGGTCGCAGCTCGCGCGCCAGCGCGACATCTACGAGGCACGGCTGCTCGCCGCGGCCCACGACGAGCCGCGCGGCGACGGCGACGACGGCCTCGCGGCGCTCGCGCGCGAGCGCCGGGGGGCGGACGCGCGCGTCGCCAAGGCGCGGCGCGCGCTCGCCAAGGCCGGCGACGACGTATCCTTCGTCGCGGAGCTCAACGCGACGCTCGAGGCCGACGCGGGCCGCTGGGACGCCGAGGAGGCCGCGGCCGCCGCGGACCTCGCGCGCGCGCGCGACGCCGCCGCGCGCCTCGCGCGGCCCCTCGAGGACAAGCTCGCCGCCGCCTACCGCATGCTCGACGACGACCCCGGGGGAGCGCCCTAACAACGGCCGCGGTCTTAGTGTTCAGCTGCAGTGCATCCAAGAGGTATGCACAAACAACCTTAACCACTGTCATGCTGATCTGAGATGGGTGCTCTGAGAATGGGGTGAGGTAGTGGTGGTGGTGGTGGGGGTGGTACCCCTGGGGCCGCTGGAGACCACTCGAATCCACCGGAAATATGCTTGTTTTGGCTCTATCGACCAGTTTTGATCTCGAGCTCGAGCAAATTGGTGGTTTTGGCGCTCGATCATAAATTTCGACCGTGTGGAGGTCGTGGCCGAGCAGCCCTCCAGCTGCCGATCGGCCAGGACGGGTGGTTCACAGGCTTCGTTGACCCCATGTTGCAGCTGTTTTGACCACTCATTTTGAGCAAGTCGCGACTCTGGGGTAGTCAGTTAGTGGTGCTTGGTGTCGTGGGGTGGTTCACTGCCTGCCTCTTGAGTGCATCATGCATTTTTTAAAATCAAACGCGATGGGCTGCTCCAAGCTGTAACGCAAACGCAGAGCTACGCCGTCGGGAATACTTGGGCTTCCCTGTGACCATCCATGTCGAAGCCAGCGGCTAAGAAGGCGAAGACCGATTCGAAGAAGGCAGACTCGGTCTCCAGGGTCAGCCTCGAAGCCGTGGTCGAAAACGTCCTGTGCCCCATTACCTCGGCACTGCCAGTGCGTCCAGTCGTCGCGGAAGATGGCCATGTTTATGAGCGCGACGCGATCGCGAGATGGTTGTCGTCAAAGGCGACGTCGCCTATGACCAACGCAGCGATTGGACCGCACCTCGTCGATGCGGGGCACATGCGGACGCTCACCCGCACCATCATCGAGTCAGGCGCGGTCGACGACGACTCGGCGGCGGCGTGGCATTTCGAGAGCGCTAAGGCCATGGCTGACGGAAAGCTCACGGGCGCGCTCGCTTCGATGAAAGACCACCTCGTTCGCGCCGACGCGCTCTCGTCGTCGACGGAGATCACGCTCTCTTTGAAGGCCGTGAATTTGAAACTTGAACAGGAAGCGCTTCTGAAGGAGGGTGCCGACGCGGGCATCGACATGGTCGTTTCCGTTCTCGGCGGCGCGAAGACGGGTGAGGCGCCGATGACGGAGTGGCGCAAGTTGCGAGCAGGCAAATCCGTGATTCGCATCATCAACGATGCGGCCGAGTTCAAGCGCCTCTGCGAGCGAGAGGCACCTGGAGCCAGTTCCCCTGTCGGGTGGTGCGAGGAAATGTCGGGCTTCTGCGGCAAGGAGTACACAGTCTTAGAAACTCAGGAGAATGGAGAAATTTATGACTCAGGGTCGGACTACGTTATCGAAAATTCCCCCCTCGATTTTTTTGACGTCCCCTTCGACGCCTGCATCCTCGTGGCGGCTTAGACCTGTGTCGCGTGTAAAATCCGAGAGATCTTAGTAGCGCCGCGCCGGCGCGAGGTGCGGGTGCTTCGCGAAGAACGCGTCGATGCCCGCGCGCGTCGGCTGCGACGCCTTGATCCAGGCGGCGAGGTGGGGCGCGAGGTCGTCCATGGTCTCGAAGCCGTAGAGCTTCACGAAGGCGGCGCGGTCCGGGATGATGTTGAGCATGATGCGCGCCATGGTCCGGTGCGCGGGCAGGTTGTAGGGCGCGCACGTCGCCATGTACGCGTCCGCCGCGCACCGCGTGAACGACCGGTCCCGGTGGTCGATGAGGTTCTGGAAGCTCGCGGCGATCTGGTGCATGATGCGGTTCACCCAGAACAGCGCGCGCGCCGCGCTGTCCGGCGCCGACACCGCCGCGGGGTCCGCGGCCGCCTCCGCGAGCACCATGGCGCGCCCCTCTTTTTTGTCGAGCGCGCGCGACCGCTTCCGCAGCTTCTCGACGTTGCCGAGCACGTCCTTGCGCGCGGCGTTGTCGAAGATGCGCCCGTAGGCCGTGAAGGCCGGCATGAGCAGCTCCACGCCCTCGGTGTAGGTTGCGAGGTTGATTCTCTTCCCGCCGGCCTTGGCCAGCTTCTTCGCCGACGCGTCGAGCGCGTGCACCGCCGCCGACGCCGAGCCGCCGCCGCTGCCTTTGGCGTAGCGCTGGCCCGCCATGAGCGCTGCGACGGCGGCGAGGAGCTTCCACTGGAGGGCGAGCAACAACATCGTTTGCACCGGCGGCGCTGGCGGGAAGGTCGGCTTGTTGCCTGTGGCAATCCTTGTGGCAATCTGAGCAGTTGAAGCTCGCACCGAGAGCCGCGTGCCGAGCACCGACACCAAGGCCGTGCAGAGCACCGGCACCAAGACGATGCGCCCTACATTCGCCACATCTTTGGCCCTCTGGGCGGCATCGACAACATGCGCATTCCATGGCCCGACGCGCAGATCCGCGACGTACGCGCTGCGCGCCGAAGCCCCGACGAAGACGGGCGTCGGCACGCCGCTCTTCGACAAGCGCGTGTCCGCCGACGCGCCGCGCGCGTCGGCCGTCGGCGCGGCGGAGAGCGCGCGCACGGAGCGCCTCGTCGCGGACCTGCAGTCCGCCGCGGGCGAGGCGAACAAGCAGACGTTCGCCGGGGCCGCGGGCCGCGCGCTCGCGCTCGCCGTCGCCGGGGGCCTCGCGTTCGCGCCCGTCGCGTGCGGGCTCCGCACCCTGGTCAACGACGAGGGCCTGGCGGTGCTCGCCAACGACGAGGGCCAGTACTTCCAGAACTACGTCAACGCCATCAACGTCTTCTTCGCTTTGCTGCTCGCGAACACGTTCAACTGGCTCTACGGCCAGCAGGAGCAGCTCTTCATCGCGCTCTTCGGCGAGGTGAGCGTCGCCAAGGCGCTGCTCGAGCAGGTCGCCTTCGTGAGCCGGGGCCGGCCGGCCTACGCGGCGGAGCTGCTGGGCTACGTCCGCGAGTACGTCGACGACGACCTCACGGCGATCGACGACAATCCCGTGAGCCGGCTCGTGGGCGGCGAGGGCGCGCGGAAGCGCGACGCGCTCGAGCGCGTCATGTGGCTCACGTCCGTGGGCGAGCCCGGGCACATCTACGACAGCGTCAAGGCGCTGCGCGAGGCCCGGGGCCGGCGCCTCGGCGCGCTCCAGCGGAAGCTGCCCCTCGCGCACTTCGCGCTCCTCGCGGTGCTCGGCGCGCTCGTGCTCTGCCTCTTCCCGCTGCTCGCCGCGGCGACGGGCGCCGCCGTGGCGGCCGGCGACGGCCTCCTCGAGGTCCAGGCGGTCCTCTTCGCGCTCATGACGTTCGCCATCGCGCTCACGCTCGACCTCCTCTACGCGTTCTGGGTGCCGTCGGGCTCCGCCTACAACGTCGACGGCATCCTCCGCGTCATGGTCGCGGGCCTCGACGCGGAGATCGACGACCGCCTCGCGGACGCGCGCGGCCGCTCGGAGCGCGACGAGTTCTTCGCGGACGCGCGGGGGCTCTCGGACTACGAGCGCTACTAAGCCCCGGCCGGCGTGGTCTCGGGCTCGCGCGCCGTCGGGCCTCAGGCCGTGCGGTCCGCGCGGCGGTAGATCGTGAGGGGGTCGCGTAGGTGTAGAGCTCCATGGGGAGGTGGAGGACGGGCTGGTCGACGACGAAGCGGCCCGCGGCCTCGAGCGCGGGGATGGGCGGCGCGGCGACGACGTACTCGAGGTTCGCGGCCTCGCGGAGGATCTTCGCCTGGAGCCGGTCGCGGACCTCCGCGGGGAAGCAGGCCTGGTTGACGTAGAGCGTCGTCGCCTCGGCGAGGTCGACGTCGAACATGTCCTCGTTGCGCAGGTCGACGTCGGCGCCCTTGGAGGCCAGGGCCGCGGCGCGGAGCGCGAGCGCGGCGACGTGGCGGCCGTCGTTGACCTCGACGCCGACGGCCCTGGCCGCGTAGCCCGCGAGGGCCATGTGCGCGACGACCTTCCCCGCGCCGGAGCCGAGGTCGTAGAAAACGGGGGTTGGCGTCTCGTCGAGGCCGAGGGCTTTCGCGAGGTCGTCGACGGCGGTCCGCGCCAGCTCGCCGTAGCCGTCCGGCTCGCAGCAGGAGACCGGGGGCTCCTCGACGGCCGTGAGCACTAGTGGTGAGGTCGAAGTGGTGCGGGTGCGGGTGATGCGGGTGCGGATGGGGGTGGTGCGCGGGGTGCGGCGTCGAGGCAGCCCGGGCGCCCCTCGAGCGGAACAAACTTGAAAAAAAAAAAAAAGTTCAATGTGACTGATTGAACACTTACGTGAACAGCCGCGGCGACGGCCGCGGCGACGGCGTCTGCCGCCGCCGCGGGGGAAACGGGAGGGGGGCGGGGGCACTTGCGGGGGCCGCTCGCTGCGACGCGGGTCTGCGGAGCGGGCGGCTTTCGGGGGCTTTTCAGAGGTCGTCCTGGAGCGCGCCGATGAAGTTGGAGAGCCGCGGCGAGGGGAGGACGTCGCCGGCGAACATCTCCTTGGAGTCGGCCCGCGGCGTCGCGACGACGACGGGCGGCGCCTTGGAGAGGGCCTGGTGGGCGAAGAGCGTCGACTTGTGGAACGTCGCGGCCTCGGCGCCGGGCGGGCCCCAGCCCTTCGCCGTCGCGCCCGCGACCTCGCGGTCGTCGCTGTCCGAGTCGCCGGCCCAGATCGGGTGGGGCTCCGGCGGCGGCGGCGGCGGCGCGTCGTCCTCGTCGTCGCTCGACAGCGACGGCGGCGGGCTCGGCGCGCGCGCGGCCGCGCGCTCGGCCTCGGCGTCGTCCATGGCCCGGAACCGCGCGATGAGCGCCGCGGGCACGGCGCCGTCGTCGTCCGCCGAAACGCCCGCGTCGCCGTCGTCGCCGTCGAGGGCGAAGGGCAGCTCGTCGCCGTCGCGGCCGCCGGAGCTCGCGAAGAGCTGGTCGTAGGCGCCCGGCTTGATGCGGTAGCGCGGGGACCGGAGCACGCCCGGGGGCGACAGCACGGGCGACACGGACCGCCAGGACCGCTCGGACTGGGGCGACACGGGCGAGTCGGCGACCGGCGCGTCCAGCGGCCGCGGCGGCGGCGGCGCGGCGGCCGCGGCCTCGGCCCACTGCGACCGCGGGCTCTTGGGCGTCGACGGCACGTTCGCGGCCTTCGTCGTGAACTTGAAGTCCGTGCCGCCCTGGTTGTAGGTCGTCGTGTAGCGGTCGCGCTTCTTCGCCTCCGGCGGGGACGTCGCCGCGTAGTAGTTGTGGCGGCCCGCGGCGCCCGGCGCGACCGGCGGCGGCGGCGGGTAGATGGCGAGCGGCGCGCCGAACTCCGTGACGCAGCGCGGCGAGTACTCGCGGGGCTCCTTGGGATGCGGCGGGTAGTAGGCCCCGGCGTCGGGCCGGTGCCGCGACCGCGCGCCGCGCCGCGACGGCCGCGCGCCGTAGGTCGGCGGCGCCGCGGCGACGCCCGCGGGCGCGGCGGGGATCATCGTCCACTGGCCCACGCGCGCGTCGTACATGACGTGCTGCGGCCCCACGGGCGGCACGTAGCCGGCGTAGGCCGGCGCCATCGTCGGCGCGGCGTGCCGGGGGGCGCCGCCGCCGCCGTTCCGCACGGGGCTCACGCTCGGCTTCCCGCCCCGCCGGCCCCCGCGCCGGTTCCGGGGCATGGCCCTGTCGTCGGGGCTCGCTGCACCGAGGACCCGCGCTTGTCTGTGTTCCGAGCCGCCGGCGCCCCCGTGCAAGGCGCGCCGGGACGGACGTCCACTTGGGAGAGCACTCAAGAAAGCGGGGCGCGAATCTCGCCAGGAGCGCGCGGATTGATGATACAAATCGTTTCAAGTGCTTGAAAATCTTGCTGAAAGCGTGAATGTTTACCCTTTGTTGCACTAGCCTGGGCTCAGCAGAGCTAAAGCAGGGTCCTCGATACGATGGCTTTACAAGCCGCGCGCCGCTGCTCGTGCCTCGCGTGCCTCGCTGTGGCCGCCGCACAGTGCGGCATCGGTGTGCGGCCGAAGCTGAGCTTCGGCCGAGGCGGCGAGATGCAGTGGAAGATGGTCGCGCAAAGCGGGACCCGCCTGACCTTTCTCGCCATCGCGAAAAGCTCGACGCGCCACACGAACCAGATCCTCAAGAACGCCGATCCCACGGGGGGGAAGGGGTTCACCAGCTACCACCTGCGGCCGCACACGCGGGCCGACGGCGGGGCCATCGACAACCTTCGCCGCGGCCCGTGCGCCGGCGGGAACGCGACGCTCGTCGCGGCCTGGGCCGGTCTCTTCCGCGCGCCGCGCCTCGTGCTCGCCGTCGTCCGCGAGCCGATCGCGCGGCTCCTGAGCGAGTACTCGTTCAACCGCACGGTCTCGGACGGGCTCGGGCGCGCGGCGCGGCCCCTCGCGCCGGGTTCGCCGTTCGTCGCCGCGGCGACGCGCCACGCGTTCCTCGACGAGCGGCGCAACTGGCAGCTTGCGTTCCTCTCCGGCCGGCGCACGCGCTTCCCCGGGCCCGACGGTTGCGCCTACTGCGACCCGGACTGGGCCGACCCGGCCAACGCGGCGACGCGCGGCGACCTCGAGGTCCTGAAGCGCGCCGCGCGCGCGGGCGCGTTCCTCGTGGGGCCGCTCGAGCGCCACGGCGAGCTCCTGCACGTCGTCGCGGCGCGCATGGGCTGGACGGCGCCCGCGATCACGAAGTACGACGGCGCGCCCCGGGACCGCATCTTGCCGAACTCGAAGAACACGATCGGCGACAGCAACGACGTCGCGATCCGCGTCGACGAGCTGCCCGCGGCGACGGTCGCGCGGCTCCGCGAGCGGCACGCGCTCGACGGGGCGCTCTACGCGTTCGCCCACGCGGCCCTCGACGCGGCGGCCGCCGGGACGACGGACGCGTAAAGGCCGATCCCAGTCCGAGAGACGACGGGTTATGTGCAGCCCTGACCGGGCTCGAACGGGGGCTCGGGCGCGCGCGGTCGACTTGGGCGCGGCGGCGGGGGACGGGGCGGTATGTGAAAACGGCGGGGGGGCGCCAGCTACCTCGGGAGCGGGACGCCCTTGTCGACGTCCATGTGGGCGATCTGGATCGTGCCGAGGACGCTCTCCGGGAGCTCGAGGAGGTGCTTGGCCTCGAGGACGTAGGAGATGTCGACGACGAGGGCCTTGGCGTAGCCGCCGCAGAGGCGGACGACGGACGCGGCGACGGCGGAGGAGGCGATGTCGATGTCGAGCTCGAGGTAGTCGGGCCCCCGGAAGTAGTGCTGCTTGAGCTTCTTGCCCAGGAGCACGGGGTTCTGGCCGACGGCGCGGCGGACGACCCAGTTCGCGTCGACGACGCGCGGCGTCATCTTGAAGCGGTCGTCGCGGAACGCGTCGTCGTCGCCGAAGAAGAAGGGCTCGGCGACGCGGCCGAGGGGCGTGGAGCCGTCCCGCAGCTTCGTCGAGTCGCGGCACGCGTAGTACATGGCGTAGGTGTAGCTCGGCGGCCCCGGCACGACGAGGGTCACGACGAAGGTGAAGGGCGGCGGCGCGCCGCCCTCGGGCGCCGCGTACGCGTCCCGCGCGACGCGCACGCGGTTCTCCGGGTGGTCGACGACGTGGAGCCCGCGCCGCGGCGCGGGCGCGCCGCCGGCCGCGTCGGCGCCCGGCGGCGGGTGCGCGCCGTCGCCGTCGCCGTGGAGCAGCAGGTCCGCCGCGACGAGCTCGAACAAAGGCGGCTCGGACGCGAAGACCTTGACGCGGTCGTCCAAATACGACGCGCCGCGGACGGCGAACGTCGACGCGCGCGGCGACGACCAGTAGCGCCGCCCGTAGGTGGGCCGCGCGTCCTGGAGCGCCCGCCCCCAGGGCCGCCAGGGCGCGTCGGCGTCATCCAACAAACCCTGGCACGTGCCGCCGCCCAAGAGCACGTAGCCGTCGCCGTCGCCGTCCGACGGCGCGCCGTCGTCCCAGGCCTTCGCCGCGGGCCCTAAACCCCGCAGATCGTCGAGCGCGCGCGCGGACACGTCGACGAACTTGGCCGCCTCGGCCTTGTCCTTGGCGACGAGGCACAGCAGCAGCGCGCGCTCGCCGATGGCCTCCAAGCGCTTCGGCGCCACGGGCCGCGCGGACGTCGCGCGGATCTCCGCTTCCAAATCGACGCCGTCCCAGCGCTCCTTGGCGCTCACGCGCAGCCGCCCGCTCAGCGACTCGGCGCAGCCCCCGGCGTAGGCCGGGCTCAGCACGAAGCCGTCGTCCGCGCGCGTCGCCGCGACGGACACCAGGTCGTCGCCGCTCCAGGGCTCCGCCTGGCGCCGCGGCAGGCAGAGCGTCGCGCCGCCGCCCGCGTCGCCGCTCAGCACGGCGCTCAGCGCGTCGAGCACCTCCTCGCGCGACGCGCGCACGGACACGGCGCACCGGAGCGTCTCCGAGGCTAAAGTAGCCGGCTGCGCGGACCGGCCCGCGCGCGCGGCCGGCGGCACGGCCCGCGCGGCCTCGGGCCCGGCGACGCAGGCCGCGATGGCCCCGCGCCAGGCCTCGGCCTGCTTGGCGGATCGCGCGCCGAGCAGCACCTTGGCGGCGCCCGCGGGCCCGCCGCCGCCGCGCGGCCGCGCGAGCGTCGCCGCCGACAGCGCGCCCGTCGCGCCGAGCAGCGACGCCGCGCAGCGCACGTAGCCGTACTGGGCCAGCGCGCCCGCGGCGACGCAGGCGCAGGCGATGGTCCGGCTCCAGAGCTCGCCGCACCGCGACGCGAGCGACCCGCGCGCGATCGTGAACTTGTAGAGCGCGTCGTCCGCGGCGACGCGCGACACGCGCGCGCCGCTCAGCCGCACGACGCACCGGGGCCGCTCGAGGCCCGGCCCCCCGGGGCCGAAGCAGAAGAGCGTCCGGTCCTCGACGGCGAGCACGAAAAAGCCGCGCGCCCAGGAGAGCTCCGACTTCTTCTTCGTTCGTAACAAAAGTTCGCCCTGGAGGATCATGGCGCCTCCGGGGCGGCCGGCCGGCGGGCGACCAGGCGTCGACCCCGGCGGCGACCGTTGGGCCCGGCGGGCGCGATGGACGCCTAGCCGAACACAGGCTACCGCGACACGCCGCTTGCGCACCGCGTTTGACAAGAGCAGATCCGAGGCGGTCGCGGCAAGAACGTTTCAAGTGCCAACCGCCCAAGAGGTTGACCCTTTGATGCCGGGCGATCTCGAGAAGCATGGGCTGCCTCCTCCTCGCCTCCTTGCTGGCCGTCGCAGGCGCCCAGCCGAGAAGCATGGGCTGCCTCCTCGCCTCCTTGCTGGCCGTCGCCGGCGCCCAGCCGACGCCGGTGCCGGACCCCGGGCGGTCGCCAATCCCGCTCGTGCAAGACTTTGTGGCCGAGATCACGGTGCTCACGTGGAACAACGCCATGGGCCCGCCCAAGCACCCGACGCGCGGCTGGTCGAAGATCTACGCCGACACGGCGCGCGGCCGCTACCTGACGGCGAGCGACCCCGACAAGAACTACTACGAGTTTCGACCGGACGTGCGCGGCTCCCTGAACTGGCAGGTCCAGGACTGGGACGGCAACGGCACCGTCGGCTGCGTCGGCCCCTACCACGAGGGCTACGACGACAAGGGCGCCTTCGCGCCCCAGGTCAAGATCCCCGAGACCGCCGTCGACCACGGCATGGCGCGGACCCTGGGGCGGGACAACGCGACCGCGGTCTCCGCGCGCCGCTTCTCGTGGAACCAGACGAACGTGCCCGAGGGCTGCGCGTTCGAGGGCGTCGACCTCTACCTCCTGCCGCTGGAGGGCAACGCGTCCCTCTGGGCGCCGCTCTACATGGTCAACACGGACACCGGCTGCGAGTGGCGCAGCGACACGATCAAGACCTACTGGACGTCCGTGGAGCCGCTCTCGGACGCCGACCGGGCGCTCCTCGCGATGCCCGCGGGCTGCGCCGCCGTCGCGCCGCCCTGCCCCAAGTGCAACGTCGACTGCACGAAGTGCACGTACCCGACGGCGCCGGCGGCGTGCGAGGTCGACGACCCGGACCACCCGGAGGCCGCGACGTGCCCCTGCCGCTCCGTCGCGACCTGCAGCGAGTGGGCGCCGGGCTTCCTGGCGTAATCTCTCAAACGGGCGTCTATTTTTGGGGGGCGGTGCGCGAATATCGTCGTTCTTCGCGCATATGGCCTTGTTGTTGAAGCGAAGATGCCTCTGAGGTGATCCATGGAGGCTAAAAGTATGGGTCGAGCTCAGCGCGCGCAATGAATTCCTCCGCAGCATCGATGGACGCGTCGGCCGCCGCTTTGTCGGCGGCCGCGGCGGCCGCTCCTCCTGCAGCGCCGGCGCAGTGGGCGTGTCGCGCGTGCACCTTCGTCCACGACGGCCCGGAAAACATGAACTTCCTGGCATGCGCGCTCTGCGGCACGAAGAAGGTCGAGGACGCGGTCCCGCCGCCGCCGGACGCGTCCGCGCCGCGCGCCGCATCGCCGCCGCACGCGTCCGCGCCGCGCGCCGCGTCGCCGCCGGACGCGTCCGCGCCGCCGATCGACGCCGCGCCGCGCGCCGCGCCGCCGACGATCGACCTCACCGCGCCGGACGACTCCGACGCCTACGTCGCGCCGCGCCGCGAGTTCAACCTCACCGCGCCGGACGACTCCGAGCGCGCCTACGTCGCGCCGCGCCGCGATATCGACTTGGACTCCGCCGAGGAGCCGCCGCGGAAGCGCCCGCGGCCCGCGGCGCCGACGACGCGCGTCGGCCGCTGGGACGTCTCGCGCGTCGGCTTCGGGACGCTCGCGCTCGGCGTGCTCTACCCCGACGGGCGGCCGCCCGAGGACGCCGCCGTGAGTATCGTGCGCGCGGCGCTCGCCAGGGGCTGCACTTTCTTCGACACGGCCGACTGCTACTGCGCGGACGGCGGCGACACGCACTACGCGGAGCGGCTCCTCGCCCGGGCGCTCGGCGACGCCGACGCGGGGTCGGTCGTCGTCTCGACCAAGGGCGGCAACCGGCGGCGCGGCGACGGCCGCGAGAGCAAGAGCTGGGCCTTCGGCCACCGCATCGCCGCCGCCGAGGTCCGGCCGGCCATCGCCGCGAGCCGCGCCGCGCTCGGCCGCCGCCACCCGATGATCTGGAGCCTGCACAACACGGACTCGTTCGAGCCCGAGGGCCCGGACTTCGCGGACATCCTGCGCGCCATGCGCGACGCCAACGACGCGGGCGACTGCGACGCGCTGGGGCTGTCGAACGCGTCCGCGCGCCACGTCGACGCGGCCGCGGCGGTCCTCGGCGACCGCCTCGTCGCCGTGCAGAACGAGCTGAGCTTCTTCGCGACGCAAGCGTTCAAGCCGCGGAAGCCCAACGCCGCGAAATCGAACAAGGCGGGCGTCGTCGCGGCCTGCGCGGCCGCCGGCGTCGCGTTCGTCGCCTTCGGCGTCTTCGGGGGCCTCCCCGCGAGGCAACACAAGCGCGACGTCGCCGCGCTCGAGCCCCTGCGGCGCGTCGCGGAGCGGGCGGGCGCGTCGCCCCACGCGGTCGTGCTCAAGTGGCTCCTGCACCGCCACCCGGCGGGCTTCGTCGCGCTCGCGGGCACGCGCCGCGCGGACCGCGTCCCGGACGTCGCGGCCGTCGAGGACCTCATCCTGGCGCCCGCGGACTACGACGCCATCGACGCCATCAAGGCGCCGCAGGGCCGGCGGTAATGTGGGCACGATCCACGATTACTTTGGTTGGCAAAACTTGACTTCACGCTCTCTCACTTCAGCTAGATCTAGGCCGCCGGGAAGGAAACTAGAGCGCCGCCTAGAGGCAACTTGACTTCAGTATCCCGAAGGATGACTTGAATTCCTGGCCTTGGTTTGGAAATTGCTTTGGCTGCCGCCTTCCGTGGAGGAAGACGGGCGGGCCGATGGCCCTCCTCGCGCGGCTGGTCTTCCTCGGGCTGGCCAGCGCCGAGGTCTCCCGACTCGAGTCGTGGCACGACATCTCGGGCGCGGCGAGCGCGGGCGCGGGCGGGACCGTCGTCGTGCCGTACGTCGAGGTCGTTCCGGGCGCGGGATGGGCCGAGGTCCCGCCCAACGCGAGCGTCGCCATCGGAAGCGCCGGCGGCGCGACGGTGAACGGCACCGGCGCCTCGAGGTTCTTCGTCGTCCGGGGCGAGCTGGCGCTGAGCAACCTGACGCTCGTGGACGGCTACAACGGCAGCTACGGAGGAGGCGTCGCGTCCGCGTTCGGCACGGGCGCGACGGCCGCCGCGGACGCCGCGCTCGGCGAGAACCTCAAGGTGCGCCACCGCGACCTCTGCGCCGAGTGCCAGCCCCTCCGCTTCCTCTACAGCGAGTACGACCCGGCCTGCTGGTACTTCGAGTGCGTCGAGTGCGTCCGCCGCCTCGTGCTCACGTGCCTCCTCCCGCTCCCCGGGGCCTGGGCCGACCCCGAGTCCATCGCCCACGCCGTCTTCGCCGTCGCCGTCGCCGTCCTCTTCGCATTCCTCTACGACAACCTCGCGCCCTTTCTAGAGGACTCCGTCGACGCCTTCGCGGACGTCGTCCAGTTCCTCCTCTTCGTCAACCTCTTCACGATCCTCATCCTCGACTGCGACGCGAAGATGCAGACCGCGGAGGAGCGCACGGGCCTGAGCCGCGCCGGCTTCGGCACGGTCCTCATCGTCGCGCGCGCCCGGCGACCGCGCCGCCGCCGCCGCGCGCCACGCCCGTCGCGTAGGCCAACACCGTCGGCGCGCTCGGCGCGCTCGTCGTCGCGCTCAGCACCAACGGCAAGATCGCCGCCGCCGCCGTCGTCGCGCGCGACAAGGCCCGGACCGCGTCGTGCCGGGCCATCGAGAGCGCCGGCGCCTCGGAGGAGCTCGTCCGCAAGTTCGGCCTCGCGACCGCGCGAGCGGCGGACGAGGTCGCCGCGCTCGAGCCCGCGGCGGACCGCGAACTCGAGGCGGCCCAGGCGCGCCCGGCCAGCGTCCCGCCGTCGCCCCGGAAGACGACCCCTCGCAGGTCTTCTCCAGCGTCGACGACGAGGAGCTCGCGACGTTCGCCGGCGGCGACGAGGAGCCCTTCTTCGCGGGGTGCTGCGGCACCGCCCCCGGCGACGCCGCGTTTTGCGGCGACCGCCAGCCCGCGGAGCCGCCCGCGTAAGTAGGGGTCAACTGTCAGACTTATAGGGGCCGTCCTAGAAAAAGGACCCAATCGCCATCTTGATGTCGCGCGGGGCCAACTTGAATCCCGGGACGCAGTCGCGAAGCAGCGCGGCGACGACCAGCGCGGCTTTTCGCTTGGAGCCAGGGGCGCCCAGGCGTGTCGGGCCGACGGTCATGCGGCCTCGCCGCGCGAGCTCGAAGATCGCATCGACGCCAAATTCCAGCGCGACCGCGACCATGTCGGCGGCGTTGTTGGCACAGAGGCAGTAAAACGCCTGGCATGCGTGAAACCTTCCGTCGTCCCCGCGCTTGACCAGCGCGACGAGCGGCGGGATCCCACCGGCGTCACGGATCGCCAAGCAGCAGGCTTCGCTGTCGCGTGCGAGGTATGCTAGCGCCGCCGCGGCCTGCTCTTTCTCTCCGAGGAGGCCGCTCTCGACCATCGCGACGAGCAGCGGGACGGCGCCGCTCTCCAGGATGGCAAACTTGCTCTCGGCCTCATCATCCCACGCGAGCTGGCGCAGCACCCCCAAGGCATTGAATCTCGATAGCGAGGCGCCGTGCTCGAGCTGCGCGACAAGCAAGGGGATGCCTCCGGCCTGCCGGATCGCGACCTTGTTGGCCCGGATCGCCGTGAGGTCCTCCAAGGTCTCGGGGTACACGAGGTCCCATAACACATACGCGGCGTCCGCCGTGGCATCGTCGTTGGCCTGCAACGCGGCAATCGCAGAGGCGAGGTCCATCGCAGCAGCGAATGCCCTCTCGAGGGGTCTCAGCACATGACCATGCTCGACAACCCGTGTCTCGGGGCTGCATCTAGCCAGCGTTGAACCACCTTGCAGCTCTCTCTGTGGCAATGAGCTCCGCGTAGGAGCCAAGAGATCGCGACGCGCGCCGTCGCAAGCACAAACAAAATGGACCTCTCCGCCGTGCGCCGCGTCGAGGCCATCGCGCGAAACCTCGAACCGCCGCCGCCGCCGACGTTCACGACGATGAGCGACGTCGACATCTTCTGCGGGACTTATAATGTGAATGGGAAGCGGGAGAAGGCGCTGGCGCTGAGCTGGTGGCTCATGCAGGGCTGGACGACGAGCGCGCCCCACCTCTTCGTGATCACGCTCCAGGAGATGATCGACCTGAGCGCGGCGAACGTCGTCAAGGAGACGATCGCGGACACGCGCTCCAAGCAGGCCGCCGAGGACTGGGCCGCGGAGCTCCGGCGCGCCTTCGGCTACGTCGCCGCCGCGCGGCCCGGGTGTTTCGATGGAGCAACACCGCAGCTCATCGCCGAGGAGCACATGGTGGGCATCGCGCTCTTCGTCTTCGCGTGGGACGAGACCGTGCTCTCGTCCGTCGAGGACCTCTGCTCCGCCAAAATCCCGACGGGCGCCGTCGGCGGCCGCCTGGGCAACAAGGGCGCCTGCGCCGTGCGCTTCCGGCTCCGGGCCTCGACGCTCTGCTTCGTCGGCGCGCACCTGAGCGCGCACCGCGGCGACGTCGCCGGCCGCAACGCCGACTACGCGGCCGTCGTCGGCAAAGACTGCTTCTCGCGCTTCGCGCCCTGGCGCGGCGACGTCGATGGAGATAAGGCAGAGATGACCGCGTCCGACGGACCGCCGAACCCCTGCCGCTGCGACTTCGGCGTGCTCGACCACGACGTCGTCGTCTTCGCCGGCGACCTCAACTACCGCGTCGACGCGTCGATCGCGGACCGCGAGGTCCAGTTCCTCGTGCGCGGCGACCTCCCGAAGCTCGTCGCTCTCGACCAGCTCAACGTCGAGCGGTCGGCGGGCCGCACCTTCGCCCACGGCTTCGCGGAGGCGCCGCTGACGTTTCTTCCGACCTATAAATACGCGACCGGCACGACCCAGTACGACTACGAGGTCGCGGACGCGGACGGCGCCACGAACAAGAAGACGCGGTGCCCGGCCTGGTGCGACCGCGTCCTCTGGCGCGCGGAACCCACGGGCCCGCGGCCCGCCGACGGCGCCTTCGCGGAGAGCGTCGCGGCGAGCACGTACGACCGCGCGGACGACCGGTTGAAGGTGAGCGACCACCGCGCCGTCTTCGCGCTCCTGACCGCGCGGCTCCGCGACGTCGACGCCGACGCGCGCGACGCCGCGGGCCGCGACGCCGCCGCCGCGGCGCGGGGCGAGGCGCCCCGGGCGCCGCGCGCGGACGAGCAGCGCGGCGGCTTCGAGGTGCTCACGCGGCCCGCGAGCCTCTCGGCGCCGCCGCCCGCGTCGCTCGCGCCCGCGACCCGGAGGACGAGCCTCTCGGCGCCGGCGCTCCCGTCGCCGGCGCCGGCGCGGCACGCGGGCGTCGACTTCGACCCGCCGCTGCTCTGGCTCCGCGCGGGCGTCGACGCGGTGTCGACGATGACGAACCGCTCCCGCGAACCCGTCGCGCTCGCGCTGGCCCGCGCGCCGCCCTGGGCGCGCCTCGCGCTGCCGCTCTCGCTCGCGCCGGGCGCGTCGGCGACGTTGAAGGCCCACGCGGCGCTCGACGCGGCCGCGAAGCTCGCGCTCGCGGAGCACGGCGGCCTCCTGGCGGCGACGGCGACCGTGTCCGTCGACGGCGCGGCGACGCACCTCCTGCCCGTCGTCGTCTCGGCGACGCCGAACTGGCCCGCCGCGCACCCGGCGGCCGACGCGCCGCCGCGCGCGCCGCCCCAGCGCGCGTCGTCCGTGCTCGCGATCCCCGGGATTAAATGAACCGACGACGGGAAGATAAAATTGCGGGCGCGCGCGAGAGGGGAGAAGGCGGGAGCGGGCGCGCGGCGGGCCGGGCCTAGGGGTACTCCCGGCCGAAGCAGGCGAGGATCGTCGGGAGGATCCAGGCCTCGAGCTGGTCGATCCAGCCCTGGTGCGCGATCGCGAAGACGAGGCCGCCGATCCACGTCGCCACGAGCACGTACTGCGCCGGCTGCGGGAGCTGGAGGTTGTTCGCCGCGAGGACGCCGCAGTAGACGACCAGAACGGCGAAGAGGAAGAGGATCTGGACCATGACGCCCGTGTCCGCCATAGTCGCGTAGGGCTTGCCGTAGATGAGCGGGTAGAGCGTCCAGGGCACGCCGAGGGCGATGACGATGTTGAAGACGTTGGACCCCAGGGCGTTGGACACGGCCATGGCGCCGAAGCCCTGCTTCGCGACGACCATGGACGCGACGAGATTCGGCAGCGACGTGCCGACGGCGCCGAGCGTGAGGCCGACGACGGCCGACGGGATCTTCAGGATCTCGCCGAGGTGCTCGCAGCAGAAGACCATGACGTAGGACAGCGCCGCCAGCCAGAAGATGGACGACCCGATGGCGCCGCCGACGGAGCCGCCCTCGCGGACGTCCGGGATCGAGTGCTTGAACGCGGCCTTGAGCGGCAGGAGGCCGACGTGGGCGACCACCGCGACGCCGTAGGACCCCTTGGCGTATAAAGACGCGTCGGCCGCCGGCGCGTGGGGCCAGGCCGTGAGGTCCTCGACGTCCTCGTCGTCCTCCTTCTCGAGCGCCTCCTCGACCAGCGTCGCGCGCTGCTCCTCCGCGCCCGGCAGCGGGTGCTCCGACGCCCGCTCGAGGCCGCCCTTCATGGCGTTGGCCTTGGCCGCCTCGATGAGCAGCGAGATCTTGAAGACGCAGTCCTTCATGATGCGGCTCGACGGCGCGAGGTATTCCAGATCGCCGAACGGGTGGTCGGGCCGCTCGACGCGGAACCGGAGCCGCTTCTCGTCGACGACGACGCAGGCCGTCGCCAGCTCCAGGTTGAAGACGCGGAGCCCGCTCTCGGAGTCGCTCAGCGCCTCCGACGCGTCGCGCCGGCTCTTGAGGGGCGCCGCGGCGCCCTCGGCGAGGTCGAGCTCCCACCACCGGAGCTGCCACGCGCGCGAGCTCGACCGCACGGCCGTGTAGAAGCGGCTCATGCGCCACAAATAGCACCCGTAGAGGTGCGCGCCGTCGCTCTTGGGCGTCCGGAGCTCCGCGACGTCGCCGGGCACCTGGGCAGCAAAAGGGTGATTCAACGTCGCTTCAACGTGAGTGTTTCGCGCGCGCGCGTTCCGAAAAAAGCATCCGCGCTTCGAGACCGTTCCGAGAGATGATCGCTCGTCCAAAAATCAGCCGAAACGAGTGGAAAACGGCCGAGATCAGAGCCTTTGAAGTTGGGAATTTCGCTCTCTTTTGCTGCCCTGCCGGGCACGGCCTCCTCCTTCTGCGTCGGCCCGCGGAAGCTCAGGCGCCGCTCCGACATGCGCCGCACGGACATGCGCGTCTCGCTGAGCTGCTTGGACGCGATGGCGACGGAGTCGTCGCCCCGGGGCACGACGGACGGCCGCTCCGCGTCGTCCGCGGCCGCCGCCGGCAGGTCCGCGACGGCGTCCGCGGCCTCGGGCGCCGCGGGGGGCGCCTCCTCGTCGGGCGGCGGCGCCATGGGGTTCGCCGCCGGCTCGCCGACGCTCGACGTCATCTCCGCCGACATGGGCCGCGCCGTGGCCTCGCCGCCCGCGAGCTTCTCCGCCGCGCGCTTCGGGAACGTCGCCGCGCCGTGGAGCGTCAGCAGCTTCCCGACGACCTTCTCGAGGCCCCCGGCGCAGACCCAGACGTAGGCGCCGTAGCAGGCCAGGAGCGGCAGGCACTGGGCCGTGTGGACGACGATGATGGGCTCCGTGACCCCCTCGTCGTCGTGCTCGAGCTCGACCGTGCGGATCTGCACGTCCGACGCCGCGTAGGCCAGGAGGAAGAGGCTCAGGGCGTAGAAGCCGCACTCGCGGAGCGTCGACCCGAGCTCGAGCTGGAGGGGCTTGCCGCCGGCCGTGCAGCGGATGGACCCCGCGGCGATGACCATGTGGTTGAAGAGCTCGCTGCCGATGATCGTGCCGACGCCGAGCTCGCTGTGCGTGATGAAGATGGCGATCATGTTCCTGCGAGCGCGGGGCGGGGGCGTCGCGCGGCGCGTTTCTTTGGCGACGGTCCACGCACCCGAAGAGCTCGGGGCTGCTGGCGCCGGCAGCCATGAGCGTCGCTCCGGCGACGGCGGGAGGGATGCCGGCGATGGCGCAAAACGCGTTGAGCGACGGCACGAACTTCTCCTCCGTGACGAGCGCGAGGGCCCAGAACATGATGCCCGCGCCGATGATGTAGACGACGAGCAGGAGGGCCTCCATGGTTCCGATCACCAGCGCCAGTCCTGTCCACCAGATCGAGAGACAACAATCGTTACGGTTTTGATTGAACCTCAACACACGCGATTTTTTTGGGCTGCCCGATTCTGCTCTCACGATGATGCGAACAAAGCAAACCAGAGGCTCCGCAGCATGTGGCATCGATTCGCCGCCGGCAAGGGCAAGCACCTGCTCGTGGCCGCCGGCCTCATCTCGACGACGCGCAGCGAGAAGAACCACGCGCACGACGCGTACAATGGGTGCAAGCAGTGCCGCTCCTACGCCACGGGCCGCTCCGACGACCAGGTCTTCGACACCACGTGCAAGCTCGTCTGGGAGCACAGCACGGGCCGCGCGCTCGAGACGACCTTCGAGGAGGCCGGCTGCTCCGTCGGCGCGGTCGTCGGCGAGGTCCTCTGCCCCGAGCTCGTGCTCGTCGGCGAGTTCGCGGGCCTCGCGGTCGCCGGCCTCACGGCGGAGACCTGCAACGAGGCCATCGAGGCGCGCGTCGTCGAGCCCGTCGCGCGGAGGCTCGCCGCCATCGCCCGGGACACGCGGTGCGAGCGGCGCGTCGCCGACGCCGCGTGCTACGCGTTCCTCGAGGGCCTCGCCTAGCGCGAAGCCCGCACACCCCAAAAGCGCGAGGTTCCCTGCAGCGTAAAAAACATTAGGCCCCACCCAAAGAAACGACGTCCCTGGAGGCGATGGAGGAGTCGTCGTCGCGCCGCGACCGCGCGGCGGACCACTCGTCGATCGTCGAGAGGTAGCCGCTCGGCAGGGACGCCAGGACGTCGTCGCGCAGGTCCTGGAGCTGCTTCCCCAGGGGCCCCTTGCCGCCGACGACGTGCTCGCCGTAGTCGTCGCGCAGCTCCTCGAGGATCTCCGCGACCCGCGCGAGCGACGCGTTCAAAGCGACGACCAAGTCCGCGGCCGCGCCCGCGTTCTTCCCGTCCGTGTCCGACGCCACCAACGGCAAACCCTTCTCCAGCAGGCCCTTCTTCTTCTGGCAGTCCGCCGCGGGCTCGAGCAGCGCGTCCAGCAGGTCCGCGACCTGCTCCTGCCGCGGCGCGTACGTCCGGTGCACGTACTTGCAGATGAAGTCGAGGCGGTCGAGCTCGTCGACGGCGAAGGTGTCCCAGACCTTCTCGATGCGCTGGAGCGTCAGCGTCGGGATGGGCGTCGGGTTCGGCTCGCGGGCCCAGTCCGGGTCGCCCGGCCGGGGGAAGTCCGCGGCGCTCGGCGGCGGCGGCGGCTCGCCGCCGGGCTCCGCGGGATAAAAGGCCGCGAAGGGGTCCGGCAGGCCCGCCTTGGGGTTCTCCGCGGGCGCCCGGCCGATGGCGTGGCCCATGAGCGCGACGATGACCTGCTTGAGGTGGTCGTGGCCCCGCGGCGGCAGCGACGCGAGCGACGGCTGCGGCGACGCGGACGCGAGCGACGCGGCGCGGCTCGCCGGCGCCGAGTCGCCCGCCGGCGGCGCCATGGTCCGCCGCGCGTTGGCGCCCGCGCGGCGCGCCGTCGACGCGCGCGGCGCGGGGCCGCCGGCCCTCTTCGCCGCGGGCGCGGTCCGCGCGCGCGACGGCGGCGCGCGGTTCCCCGGCCCGTTCCTCCCGAAGAGGGACGTGCGCCGCGTGGACGTCTTGTCGACCTCGGCCGCGTCCGCCGCCCGCTTCGCCGCGCGCTCGCTCTTGGTCAGGAAGGGCTCGCGCTTCGGCGGCTCGCGCTTCCGCGGGTACGGGGTCATGCGCGTCTGCCACGCGAGCTCGCCGGAGACGGCCATCTCGCCGATGGGCCGCCGGTGCCACGTCTCCACGGGCTTCTCGAGCGTCGAGTGGGGGAACTCCTTGGCGATGTCGTCGTAGATGCGGTGGATCAGCGCCTCGGAGTCGGGCGTCGTCTCGGACCCGTCGGGCCCGCCGACGCCGTAGTTCGCCTCGCCGACCTGGAGCCGGTGCCGGATCTCCGCGATGAGCTCCTCGCGCTCCCGCGCGCCGCCTAACAGGTTCGCCGCGCAGAACGCGTCGCTCGAGATCGGCGGGTTGAGCCGGAAGACGAAGTCCGAGCCGTCGTCGACCTCGGGCACGTGCATGAAGGGCACGGGCCGGAAGATGAGCAGCTCGCGGCCGTCGGGCGCCGTGATGTTCACGGGCTCGAAGCCGAGCTCGCGGATGGAGCTGTTCTTCTGCTTCGGTAAATTCTTCATGGCCTCCTCGAAGGCCGCGGACACGGGGTAGTCCTCCAGGATGGTGTTCCCGGGCTTGTGGTGGATGAGGAGCGACCGGAGGATGGACGTGAGGTAGCGCTCGCGCTTCTTCGGGCCCGCCGGGGCCGCGGGCTCTCCGGGATCCTCGGCCTTGGCCTCCTCGAGCGCGACGACGTCGTCGTCGCCGGAGCCGTCGTCGCCCTTGGCCTCCTCCGCGCCGCCGCCGCCCGTCGCCGTGGACCGCATGCCCCGCACGCGCGCGGACATGCCCGCCTTCATGGAGAACGCCGCGGCGGCCGCCGCGGCCTTGGAGTGGACCTTGGCGGGGTCGTCCTTCTTCTTGAGGCCCAGCAATTTCAGCGACGCGGCGACGACGGCCGCCGTGGACCGGTTGCCGTTGGCCTCCTCCTCCTTGCGCCGCTTCTCCTCGGCCCGCAGCGCGGACAGGTAGACGAGGTGCGCGCGCGCGCCCTCCGCGGCCTTGGCCGCGCGGTCCGCGTCCTCGGCCTTGGCCATGAGCGCCGCGCGCGCCTCGGGCGTGCTCAGGGACTCCATCATGGTCTTGTGGCTCCGCTTGGGCATGCGCGTGTGGAGCGGGTGCGACGCCTCGTAGGTTTCGACCCAGGACGAGATGTTCGCCTTGAACTTGGGCAGCTCGACGTCGCGGACGGCCGAGGCCTTGACCTTGGCCGGCGAGTCGCCCTTGGGCGGCGACGGCACGCGGACGGCCGACCGCGACTCCGGTTGCTCGTCGTCGTCGTCGTCGCCGCGGTCCGCCGGCTTGTCGACGAGGACGCCGAGCGACGGCGGGATCGACGCGGGCACGTGCGTGAGCTTGTTCACCAAGTCGTCGTCCTCGTCGATCTGCCCCGTGGACTCCGACGCGTCCTCGATGCTCCCGCCGTCGCTCTGGTCGTCGCCGTCGCGGACAACCCTTATCTCGCGCTCGTAGAGCGACGCCTGCGCCTCGAACTCGGCCGTCAGCGCGTCGGGCGCGAGGAGCGCGCGGAGGCCGTGGCTGAAGTCGATGCGCGCCATCTCCGACGTCACCGAGGGCGGCAACGCGCTGAGGCCCGCGCGCTCCGCGCGCTTGCGCTTCGACGACTCGCCGAGCGCGAGCAGCCGCTCCTCGAGGCTCGCGTAGAGCCGGCTCCGCAGCTCCTTCATCTGGCCCTCGTGGAGCCCGGGCCGCTGGAAGCGGTTCACGAGGCACCGCAGGCTCGCCTCGACCTCGGGCACGAGCTGCGTCGCGAAGGCGACGCTCTTGAGCTTCTGGTGGTCGATGATCATGCCGCGCCGCTTCCGGCTCCGGGGCTGCGCCTGGCGCGTCGGCGCCAGGTTCGCGACCATCGTGCGCCGCTGGGTCCGCCCGCCGCCGCGCTCGGTGTTGGCCGTGCCGCCGCCGCGCCGGGCGCCGCTCGCGGTCTTGCTCACGCGCGTGTCGTCGCCGGCCTGCTTCTCCTGCATGAGCATGGAGAAGCGGCCGCCCCGGTTCGTCGCCTCGCCGGCCGTGCGCGGCGGCGCGCCGCGCGGACGCACGGGCGACGCCGCGGGCGCCGGACGCACGGGCGACGCCGCGGGCGCGGGCGCCATGGCTGCGGGGCTGCCCACGCGCGATTTACAAAACCGCAGCCATCGTCGAGCAGCCGAGGCAAGGGTTCAAGGACCGTTCAATGTCGGCCGGGTATCAAGACGTCGGCCACCATCTCGGCCACATCTCCGAAGCCCGTCAACGCGAAGTGCTTCATACGGGGCTGCATTGTGTGCTGCCACCCC